CAAGTCTTCGTTTGTTTTCTTCTGCTCTTCTGTTCTTGTTCAGTAAGTTTTTCGCTTTTCTTCATTTGTTAAGTATGTCTGATGTTTTAGTTCTTTACGTCGCTGTTCAGAGGCCAACTGTTTTTAGTCAGACAACTTTCTACGTCCAATCCCACCCTTTCAAGTCTTCGTTTGTTTTCTTCTGCTCTTCTGTTCTTGTTGAATAAGTTTTTCTGCGTTTATCAATGTAAATCTCCCTTCGCTTTTCTTTACTTGTTAAGTAGGTCTGATGTTTTAGTTCTTTACGTCGCTGTTCAGAGGTCAACAATTCTGGTTCAGTCAACTTTCTACGTACAGCCCCACCCCTGCAAATCTTCGTCTAAAAATCTATCATAAAGTCAGTTTTCATAATAGTTTTCGTAATCGTAATATATCGAATGAGTATCAGTTTACCTTGTTGGATTTGGTACTTCAAATAGTTGATAACTTCTTCTTTCACTTTACTGATGTTTTAGGCCAACTGTCAGTCAATATTCAAGAATGCGGTGTGCTGCTTCTGGAGCAGTGATAATGCGACTGGCTTGATATTTTTTAATTTCTTTGTTGTGAAGCGTTATTTGTTTACTCGGCATTGTTGTGTTCCACAACAATGCCGTGTAAACAAATATCTGTTGACATTGTTGATGACGTAATTTTTTGACGACAACGAAATCAGAAATTTTTATAGTAGATTTCATGACAATATATTTGAACTGCTAGTGGCATACTATCACAAACAGTATCATAAATGAAACAATAAAATTCATGAAGTTACTCTTCATTAATTATTAACTTAAATTAAAATTAAATATGGAATTCAGGCTATAACTATAGTGCATCTGTTGACAAACTTAAATGCATCTGTCACTTCCAAGCTCACAGCAGGAAATGCATAACTCACCACCAAGTGCTAACAGCAATTACTGCTAAAATTATTCTCAAAACAGTGCAACTGTGTTTAACATTGCGTTAAGTGATGGTTAGAGTTATGTGTGTGTGGTTGACAGACTGTTGAACACCAGGTTTTTCTATGTGAATCATGTGAAAAGTGATTCCGCTAGAAAGTGTCAGAAAATTGTTAAAATTTTACAGGATCAGAGTTCCAAATATAACAGGCATCCATAACTATTTAATAAAGTCAGGCCCAATGGGTCACTGCTGGACAAGAAACCAGCTAAAAAATGTGCTATGTGACTACCAAAGAAAAACGAGAAAATACATGAGCCAGGTTAGAACACACACCACTGAAATCACTGAGCTGCCTTATCCAAGTGGCTGGCAACTTGATATCATCAGCAGTCAAAGCAATGAAGCTGCTTGAACTTCAGCCATACAATGAGACTGCAGTTCAAGTTTTGCAAACATGTGACTTGGCCAGGAGGATTAATTTCTGCAACAGCTCATGATGGGAAAGTTGACCCTGATTTGATTTTTTTTATGATGCCATTGTTTCATTTGAATGGACATGTTTGCTCCCAAAATAAGTGGTAATGGAGTTCTATAGAGTATGTGCTTGCACAGGGAGAGTGTTTTCAGCACATCATATAGTTAGGTAAGTTGACATGCTTTATGGAGCAATGCTTGAAATCTTGTAGCACCTGGCAGTGAGTTGTTACTGCTGATACTTCTAGGTGCTGAGAACATTTAACTTTGCTAGTGGACACACTGTATTTTATCATTATGCAGAGTAATATAATATCACAAAATGTACACAGGCTGGACATAAGGCATTGGTGCAATAGGGAAAAAATAAAAACACCTCTTATTTTCTAAATTCTGGCATGATCACTTTGGATCATGTCTTAAGTACTCTGATAATGAAACTATTACATGCAATTATGACAGCGTATTTGAGCAACTCATAGGACACACGCCAACCTCTGGTGACAGTAGATCAGTGGTCTGAGGAAACAGCATCCCTCCTCACCAGGGTCATTATAATAATTATAATTTTTATCAAATCAACAAGACTCAGAATTAACATGCTATCAGAAGTTAATTACCTATGTCCACCATCTTATAAGAAGAAATTTGATTTACTTCCATAGATTGTGGTTTCATGGGTTGTGATACTGTTTAGTCTTATACATAGTTACCAGTGTTCTGGAGGGACATACTGATTCCAACTTCAAGGTAGAAGTGCTACCCTGAAAGAACCCAGAGAACCACAACCTACAATTTCAATGTTTTTGAATAACTATAAAAACTAAACAATGTGTTATATTATAGAAACACGAAAGATATATCAAACTAGTAACACTCGTCTCATTTGATTCATGACGTCAGAGCGTGTGAAAAGTTAGTGATAATGTGAATTTTATTTTTGATTATGAACAATGTGTTCGTTGTGATTTCTGTATGAAGTGCAAAATAAAATCATATAATGCATTAAAATTATTTCTTGTGTGCCGACATGTATAATTCCACAACCATTCTACATACCAAGCAACATCCTTACGAGAAGTGTGATTAGTTCACTTACGATGTCAAAAGGTAAGCAGTGTAAAATCATTATAACATATTGAATTTCAAGTGACGTGACAATAGATTATTCTTTAACATATATAAGAACACTTAAACCCACAAACAATCAAATAATAATGAAAGTACAAATATTTTTGCTTTGCACTGTTCTCACCAGTGCCAAAAAACAAACATTGCCTTACAAAAACAAGTTTCTGTTTTTTGTGTGAACTCTTGCGAACACAATAATACGCCTTCAGGTTCCATAAAAGATGTTAAGTTTGACTAGCTGAGCATATTACCAACTTCTCCAGAAGGATCTGCTCCATGGACCTAGTTAATTATTTCTTTGTCTTTGCAGGAAGACTGTGATAGATATTCAGAGAAATGTCTAACCATAACTACAGAACTACAGTGTACATTATGAATAATCTAGAAAGGAGGGAATCTCTTTATGGTGCATTCTTGGAGCCTTACTTTACAAACAGCTCTGAAGTCTTAACTAAAAAATTGAAAATTAACAGTTTCATGTCTTTATTTACATCACACAGCCATAACATTCCTTGCCTTAGTGTTAGGACAAGGGTCATGTGGCAGCCCTGTCCTTGCAAGTGCTTATCAATGCCTGCACCGCCTCAACCATTTGAAGAGCAACATGGTAGTCCTGATGATCTTCAGGAAGGAGCTGCATTATGAGGGCAAGCAGCTGTGCCAAGTAACTTAGATCAGGGGTGTCACTGCTCTTCAGACTGTCCTTATTCTGCAAAACAATTCCCCTGAACAATCTCATGGAAAGACAGCACACGGCTTAATTACCTTCTCGCCTGAACACAGCAGAATACAGAAAACTTGAAAGAACCCTGTCCCCTCTAGTGTATGAACAGCACTGACTAAATGGTCTCCAGCTGTAAACAGTCTTTCAACCTCTTTATAGGATGTGATACAGCCACCTTGTTGTCAGTTATTAATTAAACCACTGCAGTGAATCTTAATCATAAAGCAATATACTGATGATTGTGATCAAAATAACATCAACATTAAGCCATATACACCTAGAAAATGCATGGAGAATGTGTTTATATGCAATTTTTAGCAGTTCATGAGCCTTAATGAAGATCAAATTGCCACTGGGAAATTAAAATGTTATAAATCTCCAGGCATCAACTCAATCCGAGTGGAACTAGTCAATACAGGTGGTAGAACACTGCACTCCGAGATACATAAGCTTATAGTCTCAATATGGAGCCAGGAAGCACTACCACAACAGCGGAAAGAACCAATCATTGTCCCTATCCATAAAATGGGACAAAACTGAGTGCAGTAACTATATATATATATATATATATACACACACACACACACACACACACACATACATACATACATACACACACACACACATATTTTAAAAATTCAACTGCAAAATTTAAAGGGATGCTTTAAAATACTACCATGGTACAGCTGTAACATATAAACTAGTTTGATGGCAGCTGTCCTGCAATTTGCTGGGACAATCAGAAAAAATCTTTCTCAATTAACAATCACAAACATGGCAACCATGCAACCAATCAGTAAAATTTGAACTATGCACTAGTATAATTACATTACATTCTACTTCCTGGAATCTTATGTCTTTGTTAGACAGACCAGAACAAATTTAGATAAGACATCATTAATTCAATATTTCAACATGAACCTACTTACCTAACTTTGAAGCCATATACAGAGTGAAGGATTGAGATATGACAATGTGCATACCACATCTGGAGAGTTCATAACAATCTCACACATGCGATGTCAGACAATCAACAACTGAGAGGTTAACTGAGATGAATCTTGGGCTGCAGGCATTATCTGCATGATAAAACAATGACAGTCAACTTTTATATTTGCCTGTGCTTCCTTGCATTGGAAAGATATAAAATAAAGCTTCTTCATGCCTTTCCCACACACACACACACATATTTTTTTACTGCTCCTTACGCTAATGGTTCACAAGCAATGTAAAGATTACTTGGAAGACAGAGCTGTAGATAGAAGGATAATATTATAACAGATCTAAAAGAAACGTAACTTGAAGATGTGAACGAACTTCATCTGGCTCTTCTTAAAAAATAAGAAACCTTCCAGTTCAATACTAGGTGAGTAACAACCAGCTTCTCAACATAGCCTGTGTTCCATGAGTTAGTTACTGACAACAACAACAACAACAACAACAGTATAATAAACCACTTGTATATCTGGACACAACTCATTCTGTTAAAGTAAGTGAAAACCAAGTGACTAAAGTTTTACCTCCACAGCCAAGGGATCGCAGTCTTTAGAATACAGCTCACTGATTTGGTGTCTGTATAACGTGTCAGTGCTAACTTGCCATACAGATGCAAGGTTTAAGCATTTGCTCATCCACTGATCAGCAAGTTTGCCATCCAACTTTGTCACCTGTTAAGAAATTAGCATGCTAAATTGAAGGCAGAAATATAAAATGCTGTCTGTTACGTAAAAAAATGAATACTTTTTACATTAATTCTAACATGCTCATTGCAGATCAGCACTTAAAACTAACATTTTGTGCAATGAATTTACTTTCAGAACAGCGTTTTCCTTCTTCTTAACTTTTGTATTTTTCTGAGTGCATTTTTACATATGTCAACCACAATATTGAGAACCATGAGAGTAAGATGTTTTATTAGTAATTCCAAGTACATGTTTCTTCATCTGCATATTTCTTTTACTGTTCTGTTACATTTAAACCATAATGTGATAATATGAGCCTGTGATATTTTAACAGTGATTCCAAAAAGTTTAATCTCAATCAGATAACACCTATATTTCAGACTGCATAATATATGATATACAAGTTCATGTATTTTGAATAAAATACAAATTAGAGAATAACAAAAAAACTGTTAATGTCAACAAATTTTGACGTGAATACGTCTTCAAAATCAGACCAACATATGGGGTACCAGGACGGAAACGGCGATGTAACGTTTGCAGGGTGATCCATTCCGACACTATAACTTCGTGACTAATAACACGATTGAAATAAATGTGGTCTCGTTCGATCGGGCATACGACTACGATGCGAGCATGACCTTGAGTTGGCGCCGCGCATGCGCGGGTGGGGGCCCACGGCGACTGGCGGCTAATTTGGGCGTGGGCGAAAATTTCCGGGCACTATATCTCGCGACTCCGATGTGCCAGCGCGCTGATTTTGGTGCCAAACGAAAGATCTCGTCTAGATCTGTCGATTTAAGCCATAAACTTTGTAAAATATTTGTTGGTGACAAATCAAAAATAAGTCGTGAAAAATCCATCTCGTTAATTTCATTTCATTCCCATATCCCAAAGAAAATATTATCCGCTAACGCAGACGTATTCACGTAAAACCCACGGCCTTGTCCCCGACACAGCCACACCCCGAGTTTTTTTACTGTCAATTTCATAATCACCTGGTGCTGTAAAAAAAGTTTATTTTGTTCAGGTTACGAACAAAAAGTAAACATCTGTTGTCCAGTGTAATGATTCGTAAGCACACATACAGAAAACATGAATATCCCAACCTACACACAATTTCTAGTATTCTGCCGAAAAATTCTACTCAAAGCTCCATACTAGGAAACTTCTGCGGATATCTCTCTCTCGCTCTCCTCCCTCCCACACGCACGCATTCGCGCGCGCACGCACGCACGCACACACACAAATTGTAGAAGCTTTGTAGTAGAAAATATGCATAATATGATATATCAGTTTGCCTTGAGAAGCTGTGTGAAAATACTGCTAAAAATGCCAAATACAGCAAAACACCAGGTAAAAATAAAAGTGGAGGCTTTGGATAAAAGTTGCTTGAACACAATTATTTTTCATTACTTTAGCTCTTTCTGAATCTACATAACAGGAAAATCAATGCTTGTGCCCGTTTTGTCACAGTGGAAACATATTCTGGCCAATAATACTGAAATTGAAAAGGGGGCTTTGCATACGCAGGGCATGGAGGCACAGAGAGAACTGTATGTTTGCTGAGTGAGTTCTATCTATACAGCCCTCCGCAATGAATATCTGTGAGTACAAGGAAGAAATTTCAACTAATGTGGGGCAAAATACATTAATTCCAGTACAATTTGTAGGATGTCTGATTCATCCTGTAAGATAAATTTTACTACTGTGAAGATGTTTGTTGTATCATTTTGTGTCTAGCCATCTTCCAAACTTCTTCACTGAAACTTTCTTATAAAGTGTCAGAGCCTTTTATAAATGATATGACCATGCTTGATTTCTATCGAGCTAAAATTCCAAACACAGCCCACACAGATGGTATGACACATGGTTTACGTTGCTGCGAGATACGCCGACTACATGAAGCCAAAACACATGACAGATTATAGAGGTATACTGTATCAGGCTTTAGTTAGAGAAATAACACTGCATTGCCACTTTAAAAATTCCTAGATCTGAGATAAATTTCCTCTTGTTAAACACTTTCATATTTAGTAAACTTTATACATTAATTCTTACTTAATTTCCTTAAAAATGTTATATATCCGCACCTAGTAATGCACTTACACAAATGACTACTTCACTCATAAATCTTAAAAATAATTTTGTTGCAAAGCAATATCTCAAAAGACTACCAAAATACTGTAACAGAACTGGTGATTACACATGGGTACTTCACAACAAAAGATAGAATAATCTCACATGTTTTTACTATTAATAACATCTTCTCCCTTACTGCACTTGAGGTACATTAAGTAACTAACTAACTAACTAACTAGATGGCTTACCGAACCCGAAGGTTCATCACCGAATTAACCAAAGCCCTCCACCGGACCCTGTCCTGGGCCAACAAAATCCAGTTTCCTTCAACTCCTATCTCCCATAGATCCCGCCTGAGATTATCCTCCCATCTACGTCTAGGTCTCCCCAGAGGTATCTTCTCCTCAGGCTTCCCAACCAATACCCGGTGCACACCTCTTGTCCCATCCATGCGCGCTACATGCCCAGACCATCTCACTCTTCTCGACTTAATCACCCTCACAATACTGGGGGAGCAGTACAGATTTTAAGCTAGTCATTGTGCAGTTTTCTCCACGCCCCATCGTCTTCCCTCTTAGGCCCAAATATCCTCCCCAACACCCGATTCTCAAACACCTGCAATCTGTGTTCCTCCCTCTGAGTGAGAGACCATGTTTCGCACCCATACAAAACAACAGGCAAGATTATTGTTTTGTATACTTTAATTTTCAGGTTCTTAGAAATCAGACGGGAAGACAAAATATTTTGAACTGAGAAGTAGCAAGCATTTCC